GAGGGGCTGGAAGAGTTAGAGACGGTAGGAAATCCTGAATGATGAACGAGGGAAGACGGCCACTCCTCCTCCTGCTTCTCCTCTTTCCACGCTTCCGGGCCGACGATCAAACGGTTCCAGCGCCGTTCTGCATGTATCTGCACCAGGAGCGGCCGTTGTTGTTGCTCTCGCGGACTTGAAGCAATCCTCAGTCGTCGAAGTCGTGCCTGAGCTTTATGTAGAGGCACGAGCCGAGTACTATACCGAATAGCTCCAGTACAGACAGCCCCATGCCTACCGCGCCCAGAATTATCAGGTGATCCTTCGTCGTCTCCAGGAACTTGTAGATGCAACCCTGAGTGTAACATTTCGGTTTTCCTTCAGATCACTTTGTTTCTTTGGTAGCGAATTTGCTTTTTTTTTAGTCGTTTATAGTTTCAACTTCGACACGGGTATACGTTACGCGTGTTTTTAACCGTTCGTGTAAGTTTTAACGTGACACGAGGATACCCGTGGATTGCGAGTAGCTCACGGATGAGAAATGGGGCTTTACAAATTGCCAGGTTGTAGATAATAATGAAGTTTAATCTAATACAATGGGAACAGGGGAAATGAGAGATAAAAATACAGGCGAAACAGCGTTCTCTGGAAAAACACGGGTGTGCTCGTGTACTAAGACTTAGAGTAACAGGGTTACGTGTAACACACGCGTACACGTGCGTTTATTAGGTGTAGAAATGAACTTTTTCTGCCTTTTGGGTATAATCGAAGTTTTATTTGAAAAGAACTGTACGATGCTCGACTCGCGACACGAAACTGGTTAATCTCGAACGCGAATTGGTATCATCGTTGCGCTCCCGACAAATGAACCGTTTGAGTCCCAGGGGTCGTTGAAAATACACTATCGAAAAATGCCGAACAGCGCAATAGCGCTTGTCTTAACCCTTTCGTTACGAGCGCCGGATATAGACGGCATCCACTCGATGACCTGTGTGTACGAGCGCCGGCTATAGCCGGCGCTCGTACACACAGGTCACCGAGTGGATGCCGGCTATCGCCGGCGCTCGTACACACAGGTCACCGAGTGGATGCCGGCTATCGCCGGCGCTCGTACACACAGGTCACCGAGTGGATGCCGGCTATCGCCGGCGCTCGTACACACAGGTCATCGAGTGGATGCCGTCTATATCCGGCGCTCGTAACGAAAGGCTTAATTGATTGCGAAAAGAGCTAAGCGGCGCGATAGCGCTTTTCTTATTTTGAGTCGACAAATGCCGGTCAGCGCGATGCGACGTACATGCGTCAGAAAAGTCGAGCGCGCTATTTCGACAGACTGTGAGTGTACCGTCAGTTGTCCACAGCGTTTAAATGTACTAGGTCTTTTCGAGACAAAATCTACACAGCGCGATCGCGCTGCTTGGGACTCGAACGGTTAATCTCGGAAGGGCGAAATTGTAATCGTTGGTGTGGCGATGGTGAAATGACGTTGCTCTTGGTCAGAATGTTTTTGAACTCGTGTATTTTGGGGTAGTGCGTTTGAATATATTAGCTCGGTGTATGTCGTGATTGGTTGGAAGTCGAAGGTGGTGGAATGTGATTGGATATTAGGAAACTGGTGGAAGGAGAACGCGAGGGTGAAGGTGGTTTGCAAAAGTTGAAATAATTTGGGGAAAGGGATAGGAAACACGACCAGGATGCGACTTGAACTGCTTTATGGTAGGGAAGGGAATTTGTTAGGGGCTAGGAAGACGGCTGGAAAGGACTGTTTATTAGTTTATGACTTTTTACTGGGCTTCGCGACCGGACAAGAACGGAAACATCTATCATAGAAATAACTTTTATTATTAGATTGCAGATTTTGATGCATCTCTGGAAAATTTGAATGCAGAAAAACACAGAATGCGCATAATAAGCAGAAATATATAAATAAATCGAAAATATAGTGTACTCGTTACAACATTTAGCGAATAAATCAATTGCCTATCTAGCTTCTACTTTTTTTCAATTAAATATACAAAAATGTGAATTTGCATAAAAATCCGCAGCCTATCGACGACCTTTTGCCAGTTTTCTGACAGCCTGCGAATACCATCGCGATAGAAACTCGGTGGTTTCAGAAGAATTCATTTCTGCACCTAATATCAGTAAATTTTGAAAAGAACATCGATGAATACCGTGAAATAGATGTTCGACGGATGATCCCTCTTTCCGCAAAGTGACGTAGGCGTCTTGCAGCAGCTTTCCGGCACCACAACCCCGTCTTTCAGGACCTCCTCGTCCTTGTGCCACTCGCTTACCAGCCAATCCTCGAATCTCAGGGCTCCGCAGCATTTGAACTGCAAAGTTGATCAATGAAAAATGAAGAAAAAGTCCCTCAAGCACCAAGCGATCGATTTAAATCTGTCTACTAAACAGACGCACTCTGTGCACCAGGAAAGAAAGAAAGAGAGAGAGAAGTTTTTAGCAGAGGAAATCGTGCAGCGACACGTTAATCGATTCGCGGAGGACGAACCGCGGGAGCATTCTTCGGCCCGCGGTAACGATGATTTGTCGTGGTAAATGTAACGGAGGAGTAACAGAGTGGCGTATCGGGCGTAAAGAAAAATGGTTAGGCGATATCGCGAGCTGTGTAAAAGCAGGTTACTTTCGCGTACGACGATACTTAACCACGCGCGTTCTCTTTTCTCTGTTGCGTTTGAAAGATAGCCACCGCGACGGTGAAGAAAGGAAGAGGTAGCGCGAGTTTCAGCAAGCTTGTACCGTAAACAGACATCCCCTGCTCTGTGTTTATGGAACGGTTTCGTTTAAGAAAAGAAGCTGAACGAGGACTGATAGAGCTTGCGAGGGCTCTTACAACGATAAAGAACCCTTCGAGCTGCGATTGTTTGCTGGTAAACAAACAGAGAGAGAGCAAGAGGGAGAGAAAGAGAAAGAGGAGGAAGAGGGAAAG